TCTACTCAGCTGTTTTCAACATCATAATAATAATAAATGCTTTTTGAGCAGCAAATCAGAATGATTTCTGAAGGATCGTGTGACTGGAGTAATGATGCTAAACATTTAGCTTTGAAATCACAATAAATTAGATTTGAAAATATATTCAAATAGAAAACTGTTATTTTAAATAGCCTAGTAAAAATATTTCAAAATGTTACCGTTTTGCTGTATTTTGGATCAAATAAATGCAGGCTTGGTGAACAGAAGAGACTTCTTGCAACATGAACAATCTTACTGTTCAAAAACTTTTGACTGGTGTGTAGTCAACTTTAATTTTTCTCTCATTTCTAGCTTTTAATTGGCCTAGAAATCAGATAACTGCTGGACAATAACCAATAATAATGATTTGTTTATAAACTACAAACACGTTTTTATCACATAATAAGGCAGAATAGTTTATATACTGTAATAAATGCTATGTCAGTTAGCACTGCATTGTTCATATACTTTATTTATTACCTGGAGATGACTTGACAAACACAAATAAACCATATATTGTGTATTGTCACAATCGTATGTTTAATGTCTTCATGTTTCCAAACGTTTCTGTTTTTCTGTGAAAACAACTGTTTTCAGACAGCGATAGCGGGACGCTTTTGTCCATTTCCTCGTATGACTTTCTGCTTGCGAGAGCGCCCTCCAGCTTCGAGTATGAATGAAACATACACTGCACAGAGTGTTTAGCGCTCCGCGATGTTCATCTCGCCTTATTCTACGTCCGAATAAAACATCAGATCATGCACAGACTATCCTGTCTCTTTGAATTTAAATCTATATTTATTCACACCGGCTCTTGAAAACCTCTATGCGAACACACTTGCACGAAAAAGTGCGGGGGACGAATTTATGTGATATTAAAAGTGGGGGGGACACGCCCCCCGCGTCCCCCGCGTAATCTACGCCCCTGCACAGGTGTATTGTGCAAACTGTACTTTATAGGGATGTTTAGATAGCTATAGAAGAATTCACGTTCACGTTTTTTTCTTTTAAAATATTTAACTTGTAAATCTCAGTTTAAATGCTTCAGTTTATTTTGATATTATATTATGTTAGGCCTATATTATTAAGACTCAGGTTCATCTAACTATAAACCTAATAAATAATTGACCTTTCTTTTTAATGGAGTCACTTATGCGAATCAAGGCTGTATTTATTTGAAAACGGTAATTTTAACGGTAATTGTGAACTATTAGGCTATTGCAATTTCTAATATTGGTTTCCTATTTCAGTTTTTCCTATACTTTAAAATATAATGTATTCCTGGTGAAGCAAAGCTGAATTTTCAGCATCATTACTCCTGTCTTCAGTGTCACGTGATCTTCAGAAATCAGTCTGATATTCTGATTTATCAGTGTTGAAACTGTTGTATAGTATAGTGTATATTGTAAAACAAAATTTATATTTTGAATAAACACTGCTCTTTTTAACTTTATATTTATCAAAGAATCTTGAAAAATATCACCGGTTCCAAAAAATATTAAGCAGCACAATTGTTTTCAACATTGATTATAAATTAGGATATTAGAATGATTTTTGAAGGATCATGTGACACTGAAAATTCAGCTTTGCTTTACATGAATAAATACAAAGTATATTCAAATAGAAAACATTTATTTTAAAGGGGTCATGTGATGTGATTTCAAGTTTTCCTTTCTCTTTGGAGTGTTACAAGCTCTTGGTGCATAAAGAAGATCTGTAAAGTTGCAAAGACTAAAGTCTCAAATCCAAAGAGATATTCTTTATAAAAGTTAAGAGTTAACCACGCCTACCTAAAACGCCTCGTTCTAACACGCCCCCACATATCTACGTCATGATGCGGAAATATTTGCATAATGCCGCCCAAATGTTCATGCAAAGAAAGAAGGCATAACTTTTATTCTCGCTGTAGTATTGTTGACGCTGCCGCCATGTCGTGAAGGCACTGTGTGTTTCGCTGTGAAAGTGAAACTACTTTGTTTGGTCTTCCAAAAGAGGACGATATCCGCTTCGTCATGCCTGGAGCTAATCCATGCTGGTCGCTGAGGAAATACATCAACTTCGCGCTGTGGATCGCCGGATCGGCTTTCACTGTGGATGAAGCGGAGTCCAGCCCGGGGTCGTCACATGTGGTTGCCGCAAGCCCTCTGGACGCTCCTTCGTCGAATCCACCGGCCGCGCCGTTCTCAAGCCCGCCGGCCATTCCTCACTCTAGCCCGCCGTGTGTGATTATTGTTTTCAACCCTTATTCTGACCCTCTGTCTAAAGCAACCTGTTTTAAGGGGCGGGTCGTTTAAGGCTCGTCAGTAACTGCCCACTGTTATGATTGGCTAACATCATAGCACAGTAAACAGTATCAGCGCCCCCTCGCTGTCACATGTGAGTGTTTTGCTCTGGAGGTGGGGTTTATGCAAAATCTTTGTGCCCGGGTGACATCATCTTGCCCCTTGGTTCCGAAACAAGCCGTTTTTGGAGCTTGATTAAATAAATGCTTTGTTTAATGAGGAGGACGTTTTAAGCTATGGAACTTGCAGGGTTTAATGGTACAGAGATCCCTTATATGCCAAAAGATCAAGGCAAATTTGATTTCTCATGTCATGACCCCTTTAAAGATTAGAAAATAAAATACCTACAACATTTCACTGTTTCTCTTTTGTGAGCCACTTTGGATAAAAGTGCATGGTGAATTAATACATATAAAATATAAATATTCAGATGTATCATGCATCTCAGAGTTGCCATATAAAAGTACAATGTGTAGATCTCTCTATAATCTAGATAGTTATAATAGCTTTGCTGATGATTGATGACCCCAAACACAAAACCCAGGATAGAGCGGCTGAGTGAATGTGGTCTGGACTGTGTGGATGAGGTTCATTGTGTCAGAGACGCTGTAGAAGGACAGAGTTCCTGCACTGTGATCCACATACACTCCTATTCTCCTGCAGCTGGAGGGAACAGGGAGTTTAGACCTTTTGTTATTGTGCCAGAATAAGAAATTGGAGGGAGAGCAGGAAGTGTAAGTCACCGCTCTGTTCCCTTCAGACAGACGGAGGAGTTTATGTGCAGTGTTTGGATCCAGAGTGAACTGATGGGAATCTGATGAACAGAAAAACACTGTAATCAGGAGTTGTAAAAGTTAAGCTTCTATCATATTTATTTAAACTGTCTATCTTATTTATATCTTATCTCCTTATTTATGTATTTTTAAATATTGTTTAGATCTATCAGACTTGTGGCGTGAGGTTCATGAATTCACTTCAAAAACTGTTATTCTCACACTGAAAGTTTGCATCTGGAGTGTTTCATGTCCAGATTGTCCTTCTCTCAACTTACTTTCATGTTTATCCCAACTTTCTTTAAAATTAAACCAAATCCCTTTTTATCTTTTTGTGTAGCTGAACTGTAAAAACTCTGCCCAGATTGAAAAAAGTGTTATTATCGAAAATGGCTTCATCCTGTTTGGTTGTGCTTTCTTTTTTCTTTTACATAAACACAAATGCAAATACATTCACATGTAGGCCTACAATTCACACACAAGCACAGAAAGCTGTAGATATTTGGACAGAACAGACAAACATATCAAGTTGCAGTTTTAGAAATGTACAGGATTGGTTGTTGTAATGCTGCTGTGGTGATGGATGAACTATTGGGCATCACTTGTGTGTATGTTGGTTTGATAAATTAGTTTTAATTATTAAATTAATATTAAATACTATTAATAAAGTAATCTGAATTACTATTTTTTTTCTCTAAGGTTGTAATCAAAGTAAACAGCAGTATGAATGTATCTATCATTTCTGTCAAATAGAACTATAAGTGTGTGTCATTGTGTTTGTTAGTGGCTTACATTGTAGGAAGTCCTCTCTGGTCCTAGGAACAATGTTACTGAGAGTGTCTGTGAGAATATCAGATATAAACACTCAGAGAGAAAATAATACCTGTATCTATTCCTTAGACATTTCTAACATTTTCTTTATGATATTGCATGATGTTTGTCTCATTACAGAGAGCAGATGAATCTCTAATATTTTACCAGATATCTTTTTCATCTCCTCTTTGCAGAAATCCTCCAGTTTGTGTCTCAGCTGACCAACAGATTCTCTCACACCATCAAAAGAAAAGAGGAAACTGACAGAGATGTTTTCTGTAGATTCAGGAGGAGCTGAGAGAGACTGAAGACTCTGCAGGAATAACAATTAATAAACCAACTGAAGAGGAGACTTTTAAACTAAAATGAAGACCATGATATTAATGATTAATAATTTGGCTAATAAAATTGTGCATGTTATGATGGATAATAGTCTCTATTTGTCACGAATCCGGTCCATGGACTTCCGTCCGATTGCCACCAGAGGTCGCTCGTCCATTATATTGACTCTCTCACTACACAGACTGTTACACGTCACCACGGACTACATTTCCCATTCTCCACTTCACTGATTACACTCTCTCACCTGCAACCAATGACACACACTATATAACACCCACTCAGATCCTTCTCATCGCCGAGTATTGTTTGCGCTTATTGCTAAGTTAGTGATAGCAACATCACAGAGCCCTTTTCCAAGTTTTGTATTAGTTCCTAGTTCAAGTCTAGTTTAGTATCTTTGTGTTGCCTGATTGCCTGGTTGCCTGATTATCTGCCTGCCTTGGATTTCTCTCACCTTGTCGTTTGGACTCTGTTTGCTTCTTTACTGGAGTATCACCTGTTTGTGGATTTCCTATTTGCCTTGCCCTCTGGATTACGTTTGACGATTGAAGACCCTCGCCTGCCCTAGGAATGCTCTTTGCCTTACCTGTGATGTACCGGTGTTGTTATCTGACCCTTGCCCGTTTTTTTTACCATGCCTTTATAATAAAGTCTTGCACATGGATCCGCACATCTCGTGTTTTGATTACTCTGTAACAGAATACTCGGCCCAACAAGGATCCAGGATTTACCGAAGGACATTGGTCAGGTATGAACACAGCGATTTTGCTACTAGCTCTCAAGCAGGGCACATGATCACTAGAGGGTTACATTGTGGAATATTTGGCTCTGGCTAATGGCTCAGAATTACCGGACTGTATGTTAATAGACTTTTTCTGTGATGGCCTTAAACAGCCTTTAAAATCAAGAGTGATTCATGAGGGTCCTCAAGAGTAGTTTTTTGGATTGTTTTGTGGACTGTTGGTTCAGCATTCACTGTGGGTGTCGCAGAGGAACGTACCATAACCGCACTCACTCGTGTACTGGTGGCCACACTGGAGTACGCTCAAAAAATGGTGGTGACCGTGAAGCCTGTTCACAAAATGGCGGCCACAACAACGTCCTGTTATGTCACAGCTGCCATTCCTGAGTCAAAACATGTCACAGCTGATCTTCCTGAGTCAAGTCAAGTCACAGCTGATCGTCATAAGTCAAGTCAAGTCACAGCTGATCGTCAGGAGGCAAGTCAAGTCATAGCTGATCTTCCTGAGTCATGTCAAGTCGTACCTGATCTTCCTGAGTCAAGTTAAGTCACAGCTGATCATCCACTTTCCTGCAGAGTTTAGCTCTAACCCTAAACAAACACACCTGGGCATGCTAATCAATGTCTTCAGGATCATTAGAAAATCACAGGTAGGCGAGTTTGATCAGGGTTGGAGCTAAACTCTGCAGCACATTGGCCCTCTAGGGCAAGATTTGAGGAACCCTGGTCTAGAGTCTCGTCACGTCACAGCTGATCTTCCAGTCACGTCACGTTTCAGCTGATCTCCCAGAGTCTCGTCACGTCACAGCTGATCGTCCAGAGTCACGGAGTCTACTCCTCCCGAGACAGCAGCGGCACTCATCCCAGAATCCTTGATGTTCCCTGTCACTCTTGTTCCGACCACGGACAATATTTCTGAACTCTCTGTGTTAATCAAAGCTCCTGTGTCTGCTGCAGAACCTCCAGAGGTGGCAGCATTCACTGCAGAACCTCCAGAGGTGGCGGCTTCCGCTGCAGAACTTTCTGAACTCTCAGTCTGTCCTGTCATGGCTATGGAGGCCGTCTGTGAACTCTCTGACTGTCCTGTCGTGGCTATGGAGGCCGTTTGTGAACTCTCTGCCTGTCCTGTCATGCTATGGAGGCCGTCTGTGAACTCTCTGCCTGTCCTGTCACTGCTATGGAGGCCATCTGTGAACTCTTGCCTTGCTCTAAACCGGCCAATGAGGCCATCTCTGAACTCTCGTTCTGTTTTGAATCATGAATTTTGTGAACTGTCTGTCCGACAAAATATTGCTAATGAGTCTGATTTTGAACTCTCTGTCTTGCCAGTTTCTGTCAATGAGTCTGATCATGAACTATCAGTCTATCCAGGATTAACCCCTGAATCAAGTTTTTCTGATGGTTCATGGTTCATCTGTCTGTCCAGTTCCAATAAAAGAATCTGTTATCTGCCCCATTAGTCCAGTCATGAGCCCAGAAAATATAAATGCACTCCATGTCTTTCCCGCTAACCCTGTTACTGCCATAGAGACCATTCATGAACTGTCTGCTTGTTCTGTTTCCCCAAATGTGTCTGTTGAACCGTCTGCCTTGCAAGTTTCAGTCAATGAGCCTGTTTCTGAACTGTCTTCCTGTCCAGTCTCAGTCAGTGAACCTGTTTGTGAACTGTCTGCCTGTTCAGTCTCAGTCAGTGAGCCTGTTTATGAATTGTCTGCCCATTTAGTGGTCACCAGGGAGACTATTGATGAACTTCTTGTGTTCCCTGCCTTGGTCCTTGAGACCATGAATGCACTGTCAGTCTCCTGTGTTTTCCTTAGGTCCCAGTCCCTGCCATGGATTGCTGATCATTCTGCTCCGCCGTGGTGGTCTTCTGCTCGGTCTGGTGGTCTCCTGTGTTTCAGCTTTCCTTTTCCGGTCTGCTCCACCATGGTGGTTTCCTGCTCTGCCTGCTTTGCTCTGGCTCTATGTTCCGCCCTGGTCCTCTGCTCCTCCCTGGCTCCCTGCTTCGCCAGCTCCATCCTGGTTTTCTGTTACACCTTGGTGCTCTGCTCTGCCTCAGTCCCCGGTCTCTCCACTTCCATGTGGACATGGCCCTTCGTCTCTCCCCCTGTTCCGCCTCCGCTCCACACCCTCCTGGACTGTATTGTGTTGGAAGCAGTTGGGAACTACATTTCCCATTCTCCACTTCACTGATTACACTCTCTCACCTGCAACCAATGACACACACTATATAACACCCACTCAGATCCTTCTCATCGCCTAATATTGTTTGCGCATATCGCTACGTTAGTGATAGCAACATTACAGAGCCCTTTTCCAAGTTTTGTATTAGTTCAAGTCTAGTTTAGTATCTTTGTGTTGCCTGATTATCTGCCTGCCTTGGATTTCTCTCGCCTTGTCGTTTGAACTCTGTTTGCTTCTTTACTGGACTATCGCCTGTTTGTGGATTTCCCGTTTGCCTTGCCCTCTGGATTACGTTTGCCGATCGAAGAACCTCTCCTGCCCAAGGAATACTCTTTGCCTTGCCTGTGATGTACCGGTGTTCTTATCTGACCCTTGCCCATTTTTGACCACACCTTTGTAATAAAGTCTTGCACATGCATCCGCACGTCTCATGTTCTGATTACTCTGTACCATTATTATTATTATGTGACCGTGGACCACAAAACAAGTCATATAGGTAAATTTGTTTTTAGATTTTTTTTTTTTGTTCGTCATCATTTTGAGATTCATACATTTTATTAAAGCTGAATAAATAAGCATTTCACTGATGTATGGTTTGTTAGGATAGGACAATATTTGTCCGAGATACAACTATTTGAAAATCTGGAATCTAAAAAAATCTAAATATTGAGAAGTATCGCCTTTAAATTTGTCCACATTAAGTTCTTGGCAATGCATATTACTAATCAAAAATTAAATTTTTATATATTTACGGTAGGAAATTTACAAAATATCTTCATGGAACATGATCTTTACTTAGTATCCTAATGATTTTTGGCATAAAAGAAAAAGTTATAATTTTGACTCATACAATGTATTGTTGGCTATTGCTACAAATATACCTGTGCTACTTATGACTGCTTTTGTGGTCCAGGGTCACAGATTTCATTAGGTCACCTCATTACTGCAATGTGCCTGATTGAAACCAGGTTTTCATGGTAAAGACCACAACCAATTCTTGATAACATTCCCATGAACAGAATCATCAGTCAAACTACGTGGCTGAAACAATGTTAATTAAAGACTACAATTTCTGTAACAGCAGAAATTAAAGTCTACTATTTTTTTTCTAGATCTCTGTTACCTGGAGGAAATGTATGTGATCGTCTGTGTGTGAAAGCTGCTCCAGCTCAGTGATACTGCAGTGAAGAGAAACACTTGAAGTGTCAGCATTAATACATCAATGTGTCGTTTCAGTTCATACCTCTTTCTCTTTTCTTTCTGCTGCAGTTGATACAGTCTCATGGTTTTTATGTTCATCCATTGCACACAGCATGCAAACACATTGTAACAACAGCTCAACAGCAGATCAGTTTGTTTCTTTTAACTGAGTTTCCTGGTTCTGTGTTTGAGAGACGTGTGCAAAACAGGTGTGTCTGTAAGTCTGTAAACTCACATACTGAAATGTCCACTAGATGTCAGTCTCATTCAAAAACAGAGTTCGTGAGCACTCAAAGTGGGATAAACACCTTTACAAAATAAAACTACTAATACTGCATCCAAAGCCAGGAGAGTTCTATTAGGGTTGGAGCTAAACTCTGCGCGACAGCGGGCCTCCATGACCAGAGCTGAAAAGTCTCATGTTATATAATTAGTAACACTCAGTGGTGGAAAGAGTACTAAGAAATTGTACTTAAGTAAAATAATAATTTACTTGAGTACAAGTAAAAGTACTGAAACATAATATAACTCAAGTAAGAGTAAAAAAGTAGTTTGCTGAAAAACTACACAAGTTACTGCATTACAAAGTACTTTAGTATTATTATCCCTTATATGGACAAATGCATCAGATATCACTACTGCTGAATAACATGCAGATAGAGATGATTTGACTGGTGAAACCTGGAAGACAATAAACACACAATTGCAATGCAACGCTAATTGACATGGCTTGTATAACAGTAAAGATGTTTATAAAAAAATATTTTCTGTCTCACTGTGATAAGAAGCAACATGAAACCACAGAAGCTAACTGTTTCAAAAACATGACTGATGTTATATAGTGATTTTGGAGTCCTTAATACGGTTATGTTCAGACACAGTTAGGTTATTTACGTGCGTGACAACCGCATTCTGTAACCGAACTCACACCTGTCAATTTGCAAGACTCACAACTGCATTCTCGGAACATACGCACTGCTGTGTGAACGTACGATTCAAATGCTCCGCTCTCCACCCAAATATTCACGAGTTCACACTTACATATAATCAGAGACAGACGGTAACTAAGTACATTTACTTGTAAAAAGTACATAATATTTTAATTAAGTACACTTTTTGAGTATTGGTACTTTACTGGAGTATTATTTTTTCTGGGAACTTATGACTTTAACTTCACTACATTTGAAAGACAAATATTGTACTTTTCACTCCACTACATTTCTATCAAGGTCCTTGAAGTAGAAAGTTGTTACTATGTAGCAGCTTTGAAAGTCAGTGGGTGATTTCTTTCTTCTCTAAAACAACTTTTTTTCAGACAGTTTATCAGTAATCACTCTTGGGGCTACATGAAGTGATTTCCCAGCATTTTTTGAGCACTGACCAGTTGCAATTGTGATATTTATTTAAAACAATTCAATAATAAGAAGTTAGTATTGTGCTATATATTAGAGACAATATTGTCTGATTTTGCTAAATTGTGTACGTGAAAATCTTACCTACAAAGCCACAGAGGAACTGTTGTGCGTCTCCTAATAAAACACAATAGGTGTTGGACTTGAAGCAGTGACCATTCTGTGTGTGACATCAAAGAACAGCGAGAGCGATTAGAGAGCATTTAATTTTTTTTTGCTTTGATGTCAAATAAGTCTTGCTGTTTTGCTTTTTTGTTAAAGCAGTGTTGCTGTTGTAAAAGTTATACAGCTACAGTTCTGTTGCTGGGTTTTAAAGCAGGTTTGATTTTTTTCCCTTCCTTATCACTCTGTATTTACAGAATTTCACTGTCCACTCTGTTCAAATGTGGATGAATGGCTACGCATAGATGTGTGCACACACTGTCAGTGGGAGCTGGCACTGCTGCGGCAGTGAGGAAATATGGAAAAGCTCCTGCGGGAGCTGGCACTGCTGCAGCAGTGGGGAAATATGGAAAGCTCCTGCGGGAGAGGGCACTGCTGCAGCAGTGGGGAAATATGGAAAGCTCCTGCGGGAGAGGGCACTGCTGCAGCAGTGGGGAAATATGGAAAGCTCCTGCGGGAGAGGGCACTGCTGCAGCAGTGGGGAAATATGAAAAAGCTCCTTTGGGAGCGGGCACTGCTGGGGCTGTACTGACGTTAAAGGGGTTAGCCGATGAGGGTTTGGTGGGCTTCCTTGATGTGGGAGCGGTCCGATCGAATGTAGCTCTTGAAAGCTTCTGACATCCAGCGACCGAGTGCTTGTATCTGCTGCTGGGAGATGCCTTTTTGGGCCGCTGTGGTTGCCACGCCAATTCCGAATGAATGGCTGGAAAAGTTATCAGCTGGGGTACCAGATAGGAGCAGAACAGACTTAAAGGGATAGTTCACCCAAAAATGAAAATGTGACGTTTATCTGCTTACCCCCAGGGCATCCAGGATGTAGGTCACTTTGTTTCTTCAGTAGAACACAAACGAAGATTTAAGGTTTAAGATTAACTCAAACCGTTGCAGTCTGTCGGTCTTGTAATGGAGGTGAATGGGAATCACAGCTTTGAGAGTAAAAAAAAACATTATTAAACTTTATTAACATTATAAGTAAACCTCAAGTTACATATTGAAAAGAAAATCCATGTCTTGACCCCTTTAAAACAAAACTAAAGCTGAACTTCTGTCACTGACAGTAACATAAATTATACAATACTATAACTGAGCGAATACTTTTTCATCAGATTAATATTCAGGTCTGAATATATTTGAGTACAGCGACAGATGCCTACTGAAGTAAAACCATCTCACTCTTTGATTTTATTGTACAGCAGGTTTAAAAAGTCTCCAGACTGGTTAAAAACAGCATGCTGCACAAGTAAACATTTTTCACACGATGTACTAAAATTGACAGCAAATGCAAAAATGGGGCATGATGAAAGAGTAAAACAAATGTACAAACTGATCATTTTCAAAAAGACAAATCAAATTTCTCACAAACTGTGGGACAGACGAGGACTAAACTCTATCACATTTCTGCTTCAGTATTTACACTGTGAGTGTTTTGTGTGTTCAGAGATCTTGTTTGTTGTGCTACAGAAGCCCCTGTCGCTTCAGATCCTCATAAGTCTTCTTGTTGACCACGTTTCCGCTGGAGTCTTCATATTCCTCCTGCAAGATAAAATGTATCGATAATTTTAGGGGTGACCCTAAATAGTCGACGATTCGATGCTTCGATAGGAGGAGCCTGATTCGACTACCAATCTCACAGTCAAATATTCGCAGAGGTGTTATGATCATGCCATTTTGGCTATATGGGGGTGCTCAATGTCTAATTTCACATAGAACTACTGGTTTTCTCCCAATAAGTTAATATACAGCCTATTATGATAATGCTGTAAATAAGAATCTGAAAAGAAAGAAGCTTCAAATAAATATTTTAATGTGCGTGAATAAATCCAACCACCCCTATAGATTTAAGTTTCACTTTCCATAATCCGTGACTGACAGAGGAGCATCTTGTCAGCAGGGATTTAAAACTTTAACAAGACTCAAATTGACAAAGACAGAGTGAAAGACTGGATTTTTTTCGATCAGGTAGGGTACAAGTGATTGCAAAACATTTCAGCCGGTTTATATATAGGCCTATCGTGTATTATTTATCTCGTAGACGCATTTGGTTGAGTTACGCTGCAAGCGCTTCATTGTACGGTGATTATCTACAGTATTCAGCGCCCAGTGCGAGCAGGACAAACAATGCTGAATATTAATAACTATGACTGGGACTGTCATACACTGTAGTATATGTCATACACTGCATATAGGTTATTAAAGTAACTTTAGAACCCACATTGCGAGAACATGATATACACATAACATTATAATGAGAACACTATTATAATAAAACGTTGTGAATTTTTTGAGTTTAGTTGCTGTGTTTCTGCACGTTGTTGACTCAAGAGTTCAGCGCAGACACGTTCGTGCATTCGGGGCATTTTGTGCAGATAGCCTATAAGTCGTAATATTAACGTTATGTTGTATAAATAACGAAGAGTATTCAGCTTCAAGCTCCACTCCTCCGTCCAAGGCCGCAGATAAAGCGAGCCAGGGCCGCAATGTTCCGTACTCATGGCCCGAGCAAACCACCACTCCCTCGAGGACGGGCCTCCGTCAGAAGGTCTTCGGCAAGCCTGGGCCTTCGGCAACCCTGGATGCCGCCAGCCCCAGACCCCCTCCTCCATCCACCGAATGTCAGCTCGCATCTCATCTCAGCGAAGTGCCGGGTTTCGTCTCCACAAGCCGCCGCGTCAGCTTGAGCACGCCTCCGCTAGTGGCGCAGACCAACCCACAGCCCGTGCCTCACCCCTCTCCTTACTCCCTTCCCTACCCATGGCCTGCAGCTCCACCATCCATCTCTAGCGCGAGCATGCCTCCGCTAATGGCGTATTCCCAGACGCCCGCCATTCCCTCTCTCTTTCCCCCTCTTTCTTCCACTCCCGGAGTCTTCCCAAGTGTGAGCATGCCTCCGCTAATGGCGCAGGCCCCGACACCCGCCATTTCCCCCCTCTTTCCCCCTTCCTATTCCGTATATGATTATGAGATCAAAAGGTCAAAGTCATTAATCATTATGACGTTTGCTGTCAGGTACTTACTACTAAGGCTTGTCAGTAACCACCCACTGTTATGATTGGCTAACATCATTGCACAGGAAACAGTATCAGCACCCCCTCGCTATCGCATGTGAGTGTTTTGCTCTGGAGGCAGGGTTTATGCAAATGTTTTATGCCCGGGTGACATCATCTTGCCCCTTGGTTCCAAAACAAGCCGTTTTTGGAGCTTGATTAAATAAATGCTTTGTTTAATGAGGAGGACGTTTTAAAGGGTTAGTTCACCCAATAAATAAAATTAGCCTGTGTTTTACTCATCCTCGAGGCAGCCTATGTGTATGTGACTTCTTCTTTCAGATGAATCCAATCGGAGTTATATAAAAAATTGTCCTGGCCCCTCCAAGCCTTACAATGGGGGTAAGCGAGCGCTTTTTGTCAACAGTTCAGAAGGCATGAAATAAAGTGCATGCATCCATAATAAAACGTCCCTCACATGGCTCCAGGGGGTGAATAAAGGCCTCCTTGTAGCGAATCCATGCAT